ATCAATATTCCCTGTTTTACTTATAAATATTGTGAAAAATACAGTGTGCGTGTATTTTTCTGTGTTTTTATTAAATACGTATGTGTGTGTATGTGTGTGTGTGTGTGTATATATATATATATACGTATTTAATAAAACACTGAAATCTTGTCACTATTAAAATTATAAATAATCATATGTAAATTAATTCTTAATATTGCAGTATGTTAATTATAATATTGTATATACACATATACGAATCATCATATACGAATATCTGCGGACAGACAAAATAGTAGATTAATTATCGATGCAACGTGAATCATATTGCGGCTAAGTACAATCGGGTATATTATTATTAGATTAATTTTTATTTACGCGGATATTCTAACAACCACGATAACTCGTTTGGCTTACCCAGTAATTATGATAGAGACGTATATCAGTTATTCGGTAATTATGAGAGATATATTACGTTATCCGCTTCGTAACATATATATGATACGTGCAAAATTGTAAGTGTTTATACCATACTGGAGAAGGCGATAAAATGTGTACGCGATGATAAGGACCAATAACACAGTAGCGCGCATATTTCATCCGGGTTAATAATATGTTGTCTAACGAGAGAAGAATTTTATTGTTAATAAAAAATTATTATCACAAGAAGACTAACTGTTTATGTTAAAAATAACCAAATCAGTTATTCAGTTTATCTGAAGATTAAAAATGCTTATTCTGTAATTGCTATTTTTAGTGACTATTTTGTTCACATAAAATTTAAAAGCATGCGGAAAATTATAAATTTTTATAGTATTTAATTATTAATAATAAATACCATATAAATATAATATTGCAAGTTCTTTAATATATGTATATACCAAAAACAATTTTCGATTATATCGCATAGAGATTCCAAGATTCATTACGCATAAATTTCATTAATGATATTCCGCGTTGTCACGATTGTTTAATTTAGTACACATGGATGTGATCTGCATTGCATCCGTGCATTTCATTTCCCAATTCTTCTTCCTCCGACATATATTAAACTCACGTAACTATAAAATTTCTATTATTGATAACAATCAAAGCAAAGATTTTGTTTTAAAATATTTTCAAAAATCTAATCGTATTTTAGTAAATATACAAATTGACTTGCCTCGCGCGAGCTTAAATAAAGTGGATATTTGTCATACAACGCGAAAAAGATCATAAATTCATCCTGCAGGATTGAGGTATGAGTAGCGGCAGCGGCCGGAACGAAGAATGCATTGTGATCGGTTATCGAGCAATGTTAATTATAGTCCATGCAATCGACACAAAGTTACAATGTATAGTTTCAATATATAGCTTGAATCATATAACTTGATCAACCCCCGTTATTCCCTTTATACGCTTTGATCCAACTAAACTGATTTAACTTTTGTCATCTTAAATAATTTGGTCCAGAATATCCTACAAATTAATTATAACATATTTCTTATCAGTTTTTCTTTCCGAAATTTTCAACATTAGCTTCAACTGCAATTTTCTTAAATAGGAATAATCAGAAAAATTAAATTATATGATTTACTCTGTACTATATATGCGCCAATGCATTCGGCGAAGGCGATGTGGTGGAGGATGATGGCAACGACTACTGCTGATAAGATGGCGATGATTTAATGTACATCGGTTTACGTGAACCATGACTTTTGTGCGGCATCGTGACCTCGCCACGTTGAACCCGACGCAGGCACAAGTACCCGACTGTACGGCGAATCCAGGCCTTTGACGAAGGCAACTTGCTAGACAACGAGAACGATTGCAATCGTCTCTGAATTTTTTCAATTTCTATTTATGATTCTTTAAAAATTCCATCCCTCTTTAAATTCAAACTCAAACTTTGAATAAATATTGGGGTTAGTCACGCCACTATTCATAAAATTAGAGGCCATTTAAATTTGTAAGCTTCTGATTAGAGAGTAATTTTTGCGCTAACTCATTTTCTACCATTAAATAATTGTATATTTCCTTTTTTATTTAACCAATAGAAAAGCAGTATAAAGTAAGTAAAGTTTTGTCTACGTAAGTTTAACGTAAAAATTAATGTCAAATTATTATTAAACGTTTGATTATTATAAACAAGTATCTGCATATTTTATAGTACAGAAACGAAAATTTACAATAAAAAATAAATCAAGTTTTCACACGAGAAACAAAATTTTTTTTATAAACTTTTATCTGATCGAAATTGCAAAAACATCTCGCATAAACGACTTGACATTTTGCACTTTCGATGTATTTACGCAAAGACAGTTACGAAATGAACGTACGAAATCGCCTGACTCGACGCGATAAGATCTTTCGAACTTCACCTTCTTTATATAAAATATTATATTTTTATCTTGACATGTTCGTTCGAATGTTTGCAGGAACCAATGACGCAATAGGTCAATGATATAAAAAATTGTTTTAATAAGTATTTATTGAATCTTTGGCAAGAATGTAAAGGTTGGTTTAAATATTTGGTAAATATAAGCGTGAAAATTAAGCAAGTTACGATTCAATGAAACAGGGAGTATTAATGAATAAAAGAGACAATCGACCTAGTCATTCGACGTAGTTTTGTCAGCTCGATAGGGACCGAACAAACGGGTACCATAGTTTGTCTTATTATATTGTGATATTAAAAGCAAACGGTCCATTTGTATAGACGCACGTATGATTCATATAGGATCCTGATACGACAACGCAATCAACACGTAATAATCTTTCGTTCATTAATATTTGAATTATTTCAAACAGGAAGTTAAGTGTACATATGCCGATATATTCAAGAATTTCGTCATCATGATATTTCACATAAGAATTACTGTGATTCAATATTATAATAATTCTGTAAGAACTAATTTTGAGCAACTTAAAATCTGCCTTATATTTCACTATCTATAAGTCATTACAGAAATAGTTTCCCCCAGTTTGCTCGTGTGATTTTTATATATCAGAAAGGTCAATTGTTAAAAATTTTTTATTTATTCTTCAATCATTTTTACGTATTTGTGTATTTTAAATTAATAAAAAGTATAGCAGAAGATATCGAAAAGAAGATATATAGCTAAACGAATTTTTCTGAATCAAAAAGCAATCGAAGGTGGCGGCTCGTCTTCAAACATCGAAATGACACGCGCTGGAGTGACTCAGGAGACATGTGACGCAGCGAGCAAGTGTTTAAATAGAAATAATGGCGACCCTGACGATCGAGCCGATAAAATTCAACTGTTCGAGGGAATGGTCAAAGTGACCGTTACAGGTGCTAGCGATGCGCTTGAGCACAGAATAGGATAATAGAACGACTCCTTATGACATCGTTAGCGAAATACCGGGAATGACAATACAACTTTTCATTTTTCCGCGCGAGCAGGAACTTAACAATAAATAAAGCAGTATTTTTGGAACACTGTATTAAAATAAAATGTATAGATAAATGAAAACTGTATTTTTTTTTGTAAGAATTGTGTATAAATATTTATGCACCGTTGCTGATATGTAATGACTTGCTACGTTTAGTGAATAAACATATAAAATATTTTGACATACAGGTATAGCATTTTGCCTGCATAATATTCGAGATAATCAAAGTATCACATCTTATAATCAGTAGTATCAAACGAGTTACCGTTCAATTGTATTCAAAAACTGTAACTTGTTATCTTTATTAATAATTACTGTGCGGTATTGATATAATCAATCAACGGAGCATCACGTGACATAATTATCCACCACAAACCACAAATAAATGCAATTGATTATAAACGGTCATCACAGGCGATGACAAAAAATATTCAAAAATTATTATCGTTCTAAATTACTATTATAGAAGATATGATTGCATTAATAATTATCATAATAATCATAATAAATTCTACATAAAACCTACAAGTTTACGAAACAGATTTCAATTCGTCAGAAAATATGGTATCTTTAAAAGTTCAGCTTTGGTTTTCAAGAGGAATTTGAAGACGTGCTTTTTTTAAAAAATTTAAAAAGCCATTTCATGATAGCAGTATAAGCTAAACTAGTAAATGTATATTTTAAATTTAATAAAATAAATTTGCTGATGATTAAATATAAAGAATTAATTATGACAATATTTCTCAACAATAACTAATATTACTCCAAAACAGCTAAAGAAGAACATGCAACTTATTGTTTTTATATTTTTCATATTTTGCAAATATGAAGAAATTGAATCCGGACTATACGACAAAAAAAACGCGCTTCTCAATTCTAGATTACTATCTAGAATTAAATAAAATCTCTATATTATTCTCAAGTAACATTGATGATATCGAGCTGCAGTCAAACATGTATAAGTCAGGATAGAGAATTCTAGAAAAATGTGAATTTAAAAAAAATGTTAAAAACGTTACGTTCAAAGATCAAGTATAACTGTAAAATTAAGCTTTTGTTCAGCGCAAAACTTTTTATTTTTATTAAAGATAACAACCGTAAAATCGTTAGATAAAAAAAATAATCATTATATGCGATTATACATGTCTAAATAGCTGTAAAGTAACAATCGCGGAATTGCATGTTCCCGCGTTACTGGCGTAACGCCGAAAGATGTTAGAAGGACGGATTCGTGACGGATGCAACAAAACTGAATGCAACTGTGGTGGCTGTATCAGCCAGCAGTATATGCATGTACTGGCGGGCGTTATCGCGCAAAACCAGGGGCAGCGTTATCACTCTGATATCCAACATATATACATCCTTCACGACCGGCCCCTGGCCTCCAGTGACTCGCGGACCACCGGCTCAGTTGAGCGCTTTAGTGACACACTGTGTACATGCTCTCTTAGACGTTGCATTTCAGAGCACGTTCAGAGATGCTTGCCTGCGATCACAAGGATCGATCGATCACGCGCGTCAAGCGTCGCCGAACGTGTTGTCGATCGATCCAAAGAGAATCTCTTTCTCGACTACCCTCCCATAAGAATACGCGAAATCGCGCGAAAGGTGGAAGTGGTACTCACCGTATTGGCGGTGCCGATACTTGGTCACAGATTTGCCATCGTCGTCGCTCCTCCTCTTCATCTCGTGATATTATTCTCGATTTTCTTGAAATCACTTGGTGCGTTTATCCTTCGTTGCGTTATCCTTCTCGTTTTTTGTTTGACAGCTGCTTTTCAATCTGGAATTCGCACTATAAGAAAGACTTGGCACTTTACTCGGCGGGGATGCGGACTGCAGCTACAACATTCTCACCTACGAAGGATCACGTGTTGTCCTTTTGTTGCTGCACACGGAAGAAAGATCAGGAGAGCGATTGATGCTTTGTGTACACCGCGATCGGCGAAAAGACGAAAATTAAGATCCGGACTTTTGCTGGCTGTACGAGAACTCGCGCCACTGCTCTATGATCGGGAGCTCGAGGCTCGTGTATATTATGTACATAGAGCAAACGGAGCAAGAGGAGAAAAAGAGATGGAATGAGAGGTAGAGGAACAGAGCTAGAAAAGACGGTAAAACAAAAGGGGAAAAGAGACAGGAGAATGAATGAGAGAAAGAGACGGAAAATAAGCGAGCAACTGCGGCTCCGCGGATAGCCGAGGCGATGCGAGTTTGCTAGCGAGCTGCCCGAGTGAACGAAGGCGAGACGAAGATACCGCGAGAACGATCGCACAGACAAGGAAAGACGAAGAGGGGAGCGAATAGGTCGAAGAGTAGGACGGGAACGAGTTGCAAAGAGCAAGGGAGAGAGAAAAAGAGAAAGAGAGAGAAGGAATAGAGTAAAATAGAACAGAGAAAAAGAGACAGAGTGAGTGAGTGAGTGTGTGTGAGAGAGAGAGAGAGAGAGAGAGAGAGAGGAGAGAGAGAAAACAACCAATTCGAATTGTAATCGCAAGCGAAGTGGTGATTCAAGAGGGGAGAGTCGGTGCCTTATGCGGTGGTAGGAGCAGCGCGAATCATGCTGGGGAAAAGTATGGGAGTAGTAAAATCGCCACGCAGCGTGGCACGGTGGCTATTATCGCGCGAGTTCTATACCCATCTACGCGCGACGTTTCCTTATCAGTGCAAGAGGAGGGCTGGCTAGTGACCACCTCCTACCCCTTCCTCTCTTTTAGACGCCTCTCTTCGAGGCCGGCTTCTGTACATTTCGCGCTACATACATTTGTAAGCCGTTGGAATTTATAGACGCGGGAATGTAACTGTATTATATGCGTCCTTATTAGCTGCATCACCTTGTAAATTTACGAGAAATGCTTTTGGGCCAAATGATCCATCGATTTAAATACTATCGTAATCGCACTATTTGCACCGAATGTTTCCTATTAAAATGGAAATTAATATGCAAACACAAATTTTAAATGATATATAACAAGGCATTATTTTGTATAAAAGATAGTTCTATGAGATATAACTAATTACAGTTTAACGACATTAAAATATACACAACATTAAATTATGTTGCATCTTATTAAAATTTTCAAGACATATATATTGCACATATCATCTATTATACTCATTTGCGCTTCTCATATAAATTTTTATCTTATTTTAATTCTCTGGATTATGCCTTGAAACATTTTCTAAATAATAAAACAAAAGAATATTATACACAGTGAAAGGGTCTATAATAACATAAAAGAAGGGAAGAGTGTTTACAGGGTTGGCGAAGCCGAAGCGTAAGCAAACGGCTTGGCGATCGTTTCGAGAGTGCCAGGTTACAGATACTCGGCTGTCAAGGACAAGTCTGTTCATTCATTCGTCTGTTCTTATGATCGATCGCGTTCGTTCATTCATTCATCCGATTGATTATTGCTAGCCTATATAATATTTATATATACGCAAGTATTAGCTTTATCAAAATATTTTAAACGCTTTATTTTGACTAATAGCGAATTTTTTATTAGATGTAGTAAATACGCACCTAAAGCCTCTAAATCAGATAATGACTGTAATAAATGTCAAAATTTATTCCTGATTATATTATATGCAAGCATAATATGATCATTATTCCCTTTACTCGGCATATCTGATATTACTTACAGTTATATTACTAAATACGATAGTGTTTGCTATCGGGTTCTATTATAATAAAATATGATAAAAATTAGTCCGCTCACCAGTCGTTGTACACTAGCTAAATACGTTCATAACTATACCTGAAAAATAAATAATTATAATTATTATAAATTCTATTATATTTTGTCTATTTTAATATCATCTATTTAATTATGTCAATTTTGACTAAAACGTAACTGAGTAGATAACAAATTATATAAATAATTATTTAAATAATAATATATTAATAATTAATAATTGATTATACTCACCAGCTAGTGTATTGCAGTATGCTCCACTTGTTGCAACATCTGGTCTCCTTGTGATCCATATATTGGCTCCATCCAGGAAATGATGAAATATCCAGATCCAGTATGTGACTCTGGTAAAAAAAAACGCAGTCAATATTACTGCCAATTACACGTATATAAATATATCATCTGCAATTATTACATGCATAAATATATATAAATACTGCCAATTTCTATACGTGTATAAATATTACTAATTACTACACAATAAAATATGATTGAATATTTTAATTAACTTATGCACTTTAATCTGTAAAAAATTTATTGCACGAGTAATCATATGAAATTTATTTGTTTGTATAATTGCACGGTTGTTTTTTGTACCAATGTGGTATCTAAATATGATGACACAGAATTTATTTGACAAAATTATAAGTTCACATTTTTACCGAACGCAGTGTGTGTGTGTGTGTGTGTGTGTGTGTGTGTGTGTGTGTGTACACACATTGAAGAAAGATTATGTTCGCATGGAGTTCACTTGACGAAACTATCGCTTGAATTGTCACACATCGTACTACATAATGCGATATGCTGTATCCAGTAATGGATTTTTCATTAATCGCTATAGACTCTCGCGATATAATTACAATCATCAAAGTTTTGAACATGCTACATCTAATGAAAAGTTCTCGCGCGATTCTCTCAAAAGAAACATAAAGATCATTTTCGCGTACCAATGTCATCGGAATCTGATACTCACTGCGATCATAACCGTTGCGAGCCAGGGGGTAGCGTCGACACAACGGCAACGTTTGGCATATATGGCGAACATTCTGTACAACTGATGCATTCCGGAGGTCACTCATCACTTTAATTGACACTTCCAACACAAACTCGCGCCCACTGTGCACTCGAAAAGGAGAAAATTTGCGATATACCGCGAAGTGTTGTCCCATGTTTACGTGTTCGAACCGATGCTTTGCGGAAACTATCATGGCGATTGGCGGCCACTGGCGCGTCTGGCGCCACTGTGCCCACGACTGCTGCGAATACGCGGGAAATCGAAATGTCTCAAAATTGTGAGGCAATTTGAAATACAAGCGATTAGAATCCGAAAATTAGATGCATGCTTTTCTTAGCAAACTATGATGACTAACGATGCTTTACTTGACATTTTTTATAAATATTTAAGCAAATGTGTAAAAATTTAAGTTTGAAAACTGCGAAAGAGACGGAAAAATTTCTCATTCGAGCTTCAAATTAGCACATACGTTCTATCTAAATAATCATGACAATATTAGAGAAATGGTCCAAAATTTATGGAATAATGCTACATGTATAATAAAATAAATAATTTGTGTAAATGTAACAATTACAATATATTAATCATTTTCATTAAAATGTAATAAAAATTATAATTATTACAAACAATTTCTTCATGCATTTATCATTGTAGAGGCAAACCTTTTTTCTCTAATTTTATCACAAGTGAACATGAATAACTCAAAATGTTTGCTTTTAAAATAATATTGATATACGTATTTGGCGAACAAAAGGCATCGATATATTTGCAAATCAACTTCAATTTATCTACCGAGTTTAACCGTTCGTATTTCTCACACACACACACACACACACGCACGCACGCACGCACACACACACACGCACGCACGCACGCACGCACGCACGCACGCACGCACACACACACACACACAGAGTATATATACGGATTACTATGAGCTTTTAATGAACCTCGCGCTAATTGCTTATTGTTTTCTCCGGGAAATGAACTCTCCTAACTGCATTCTCTGACCTCAAGAACTCAATCTATTTCACCAAGGATAAAGCACGTTATGTACCTGTAGACAAATATCCATTTTTATAATCTAGCAAGTAACGATCAAGAATTTCTTTTTACAAATACTGATTTTGTTCAACAATACACAACTTTATTCTGTCGTACTTATAATAAAATTGTATACAAACAGATTAAAGAGTAAGAAACCGTGGATCTCTTCACACGTGCAGCCGCATCTTCAAATCGGGGGTTATTTCCTATTTATCCTTTTATCATACAAATGAAATTTTATCCCTATCAAAATAACGAAATGTGCATTTATGGTAAATTTTTTCCAACAATTTTTGCAAATATTACGCATCTGTGTACAATTAGAGTGATACATCTGTGTATAAATCAAGTCATTAATACAAAGAAAATATCACCTAATCATTATAGTTTTAATTGTGGCACATAATATTTCGTCTATTTCATATATATTTACAATAACTTTTTTCAACAATTAATGGAATAAAAGTTTAAACATATAAACACGAATGTTCATAAATTATTTGTCATTTCATAATTCAGTAATTTATATAAATAATATATAAAACCTGCTTTTAGCCATGATTTATATGATAAATGTATTCCATTTATAATAAAAAAAATTACCCAAATAAATGCTAAAGTTACACTACAAGTATGACTAAAGATAAAGCCTATATATTTTATGTATTTATTAAAATACATAAATAGGAAATTGACCAGTATGTTATATTCAGAAAACAAGACCACACAACAAATTTAATTTGATTTCACTTTGTAACATACTTCTATATCTTTGATTATAGGACATATTTCATATCAATATCAATGTTATTGATTTAGTGAAAGTAATTACCAAAAAATCAATTATTTTTAAATATTTCCGTTTTAATTACATAAACTTTTTACACTTAACGTGCGCGCAATTTGATTACAAGTTTTAATATCTGCCTTAATAAAAAAATTAGCACAATTATTTTTAGGAATTGTTCAAAATAATCAATAATAATAGCTAATATAAATATTAAAAAATCAAATATTAATTTTAAGTACAAATATTGTTTTTTATTCATAAAAATATACTGAAATTTTATGATAGAACACCAATCTAAAAAAGTTATGTAACAAATATCTTAATGACAGATTGTTATAGACAGAAATAAAAAAAAAACGTTGACGGTGTATTAAAACGAGAAATCCAGTCTAGAAATCTATATAGATCTTTTAATTAAATTAACACGATCATTTAACAAGAGTTGTATTTTCAACGAAACGATATGCCCTGATAACCATTAAAGTCAGAAAGGAGTCGATATGGCATTGTAGATCCTAAGATTACGTGACTGTTTGACTGCACGTAAAGCATAGTCCCCGATTTCCTTTGGATCCGCTTGATCTTGAAAAATTGCATAGCAGCGTATCGTTCTTAACCGATGATCAGGCCACAACCTAATCTAAATTGTTGCTTGCTATGATTGATCATACCACTGAGCGCGAATGAGAATGGCAACGGTTGTAATCTCTTTTCTAAGACTGCTCCTACCGTCCAAGTCGTATCTACGCTACCTATAATGTAAAATTAAAGAGGTTAGAAAATTAAATAACATAATAATATCCCTCACCTGAGATAATGAAAATACACACCTTTAAACACTAAATCTGCTTTAGGTAAATCGACTTGATAGGCAATTGTTGCTGTCGACTCTTGCATTCGCGCATTAATTTCTAATTCCACACCCACTTGTAATTGTTGACTAGCTCGTTGGTGGAAACAGAGGTGACAAGCGGATGGACCTTAGAAAGTAAATTATTAAGAAAAAAAACACAAAGAAATTGTATAAGTTTATCGGGATAGTAGCAACTTACTAATGCTACCGCTGAATGTAGAATCACCACTCGTATATCTTCCTGCAGCAGATAATAATGCAACTTGTCCGCCTGGTAAGCCAGGTCCACGTTGGTACGCAAGCTCGCCGCCCAATGCAAGCGACGGTGTCAGGCTTTGAAGATAATGTAAAACAAGGACACCTAAAACATATTTACAATATTTAACACATATATTTTACAATGCAGGTGAGATCAGGTCATTTTCCATATTATCAACTTACCAGAGCAATTAAGAATGTCTGGATTGCCTAGTGTTAACGAACAAGTATACGCATCTCCTCGATAGTCAGCTGTCATTTGCACAGCAGTAAATTTACTTCTTTGCACTTGCGCGGCCAATTTTCCTTTGAGTCTTGAACCAAGCTGATGAAGAATATTGGCATTAAGATTTCCGCTTGGGTCAATATCACCTAATAATATAGGATATGCTTCCGTAGGTGAAATTTGTTTTGTACCAACATAAGTTGCACCAAATCTGAAAAAATTATAGGTAATATGAGTTTATACTGTACTGTAATGTAAAGCACATTGATATTAACAAAGCAGATATTTTCATCTATGCATATTTACCTGTAACCAGATTGTATTACAGAACTCATGTTAATAGTATGTGAAATATGGAAATGGTTACTCAATCCCTTATTGACTACCAATTTTGCTCCTTCAAAATTTATAGGAAATATATCTGTAAAAATACATGTCTACAAATGTAATTTCATTCTACATAACAATAAATATATATAAAAATTATAAATCTTAACTTGGAATTAGAAAATGACAAAGTAATTGATTGCAGAAAGCACAATGTAAATTAAATAAGAAAATATAATAAATGTAATAAAGACAATGTGGAAAGCCATAAGAGTAGGGAAAATCATATATTAATTGTTGATCATTAAGGAAATAATCTACTGGCAAGTTTTCTGTGATAAAATGGAAAAACATGAGAGTCAGTCTGAAGAAGCGAGAAAGCGGGGAGTATTCGAGAGTCGTGATATACGCTTCGACGAGGTTTACCTTTACACTTTTTGTGCAAATCTTCGATGGTACCCGGATTCTCGATCTGGCTGGGCGTCGTTTCGTTAGGCGCGTAGACATCCGTCGACGGATCCGGTTTCCCTAAATTCGGCATTAGACCGAGACCCGGTGGAGGAGGTGGCGGTGGAGGAGGTGCGGAAGCAGCCATCACGTTTCCCATTATGTATATTTACGGATTTGTAAACACAAGATTATCGAATTTGTTGTGCGTTCAAGACGGCTTATCGTTCAATCGTCGCCAATACGAATACGTTGCGCCGAACGCTTCAACGTTTGTTACACGACAAAAAATGGATCGTCTTAGGTACGGGTTATACGATACGGCGTGTCTCACCGTAAGTCGCCATTTGTAAAAGATAACCACAAAATTTCTCTCATGAACGACGAACGTGCTCTCGCGGACTGTTCGGACGCGCATTGATACCAACACAAAACATACCAAGGATACGAACGTACAGAATGAAAAGGTTCCAATGAAATTAAAAAAGACTGCTGCTGGACAAAATTGGGATTAACTGAGTGGCGCGCACTGAAGCAGGCTTTAACAGTAGCGTCACATACATACATACATACATACACGCATATGTATATATACCAAGTACTAAGGTTAACAGACCCCCATCGTGTGTTGTCACACGTATAGATCATTCCTTCTTGTCGGTATATATATGGAGAGGGGCGGAGGGTATGCAGTACGCAACATTAGAGTGTCGTGACTCGCGGGGATTCGAAAAACAGATGAACCTGGCCTCACTGTAGTCACTGTCGTCAGCAGCGATCTATCGAACGAAGCTCCAAACTCCGAAGCTCCTTAAGGAGCAATTGGAACTTGGGAGTGATATTTTCTGCCACGGAAGGAACAGACGTATGTGAAGGAAAGAGCAACGTGAATCTTTCGGCTGTCACAATACTGGAACTGGTAAGTATGCTGCGCATACTCGATTTTACACTATACATACGTCGTGTATACATATGACGCACATCACGACGCAACGACGCATGTGGCGTTTTGCTTAGTTATCAGTTAGTCACAAGCTCCGATTCATATCACGCCATGTACTTTCAAGTTTGTCATTTTCATGGAATATTATCAGTAGAATGATATGTTGTTAGAATTAATAAATTTTGTAAAATGTACGTAAACAAAGATACATTGCTAACAATTTAAGCACTCCAATCGAGCGTGAGCTCGATTTTTTTCAAATTCTTTTTTTAATTTGAGATAGATTGCACTTAATTAAATCTATTGCAGCATTCATTGATAATAATTTTTTGAATTTCTAGAAAACCATATGGATTGCTGTTTCGCTAATCAATATGATAGCTCTCAAATTGCGGAGACATTTCCAAATGTCTCTAGTCCAGAAATGTTCGACAGTGATACTGAAAGTGATACAGATAACAAAAATGTTGAGATCTTAGCTGACGATAGTACACTGGCAGTGATCCCCCCTCGAGAACAACCTACTCAGGCTGAATTGATTGCAAAATCGGATAATTGCATGCTGGTTAGAATTAATAAGTTTTTGAGCGGTGTCCCACCTCCTCCAAGACATACAACATGTCAGAGTGATTGTTCCGATTTTCTACAACACATTTATGAAAATCGTCAATTGTTTTATATCGGATATCCATTATCCAATGGAAATTCAGAATCTACGGAAAGTACAAACTCTCAGCAGCAGAGAACAACAGAAATTAATGATAAGAATGTGTCTTATCAATGTGCAAAAGGCACTCCGAGGAATTTGACTAATGCTTTTGATGCTTGTGATTTGCCAGCTAATAATGCCGAAAGCACAAAGTTAGGCACAAACAGCGATAGCGATAGCGTGAACTTGAACGTACAGCAGAGCGTTTCTAAGGAGATTCTAAAGAATGTAGTTAATACAATTAAAGATACAGTTAAAGTTCCGTCAACTGTAGACAATTCAGATGTATCTCACGAGCGATCTCCTCTTCTTTATCATACGATTGGTGAAAAAGAGGCTAAAGTTTTAGCATGGCCTCAGGCTTATTCTCACAAGTTTCATGGCATACAGTGAGTTTAAACTTTTATCAAGTATTCAAGTCTATCTTTTCTCAATAATAATAAATAATTTTTGAAATTTCAGTTATAACAGAAGCAGGGCTGTAGAAGAGTTTGAGAATTTAACAGTTAAATTATGTGAAAGATACATAGGAGCTGAAACGCAATCTACTTGTAATATATGGTTTTCAAAACAGCCACCGGGAAGTGTAAAAAAGCCAAGTTTATTGACAAGACGTGGAAACGGTCAAAGTCCAGAAAAGAGATTGACACACTTAGCCAAAAGACGTAGGACTTTCTGTAGCGCTAACTTGCAAGGATTGGGACTCACTAATAAAAGGCAGTTAATGATACCAATTAAGTATGTATCTCATAAAAAAAAAGTATTATGATAGCTAATGTATGCTATGAATATAATTTTATAAACCTTTTTCGTATAAAATACAGGAAACTTACACATAAAAAAGGAAAAAGTCCAAGGGGTAAAAGTCTACGTGGTAAAAGTCCAAGAGGTAAGAGTCCTCGAGGTAAAAGCCCAAGAAGTTCAGCAAAGAAGAAAGTAGTTCGGAGATTAATGCTAGATGAGTCAAGTCCATGTAAATCGAAATTAGAAATTTCGAAACGTGCGTTGTTCCAAAGTCCCCCGTCAGATCATGCTGGCCCTAGTAAATTATTAGGTACAAATAATACGGATAGTCAAAAAATTAAACGCGTTTTATTTTCAACGCCAAAAAAAAACGAATCCGAAGATTCGGCGAAACAAACGTCTTCGAAAGAAGAAAGTAGAAAAAGAAAATGCGAGGAAGAATTGCATGGGCCACGATTGAAATGGCCAAAAAGTTTATCGTTTGATTGCACGCACGAATTAAAAAATACCTCGAAAGTCACATGGGATAGACATTCGTCGAGCAGTATTCTTTCGAAAAATGAAACGTCTGTCAGTCAAGGGAAGAATGAACTAAGCGATACTCATAAAAAGGTTTGTATCTTTTTGACTTTTCTGTTTACTTTAATACACTATACATTTTGCTATATAATTTTCTTGCTTATTTCTAGAAATTACTTTGGGCGGTTGCGGAGGCTCTACGAAGCAAAGGCATTGACATGAATCATCCAAAATTTAAACAATATGCCGCAAACTTGGCACGTACAATCAAAAAATTTATGCCTGATCTTGAAAATAGAAATATTCCGCGAAAACCTGGAAGTACAAGCGATCGCATGTTGAAACTAGCCAAGCATCATGTACTGCTTCTCATCGATACTAGGCCAATAAATTGACAGTACTCGTCAGTACTATTAGTAAAATTCAGGAAAGTGTGCGTGTGTGTGTGTGTATGTGGGTGGGTGCGCGCGCGCAAAAGATTCGCTTTTTGGCAAACAGGACATTATTAAAATGACCAAATATATATGGGTGCTTATATCTTTAGCCGACTTTACGTGTGCTTACATTATGACTTTTACTTTTATATAACTTAACATAAGATAAAATGTGTTATACAGTAATGAGGTAAGATTTAAAGATGGGATTGTTACACCCACATGCAGGGTATTAAACGTTTTTTATCGTATAAATAAAAATGTGTTTTTAATATAAGCATAGTTTTATTAGCTTTAAAATAGTTATATTTCACAACTTATAAATAATTAATAAAAGGCGCTTTTCTGAAGTAAAACGCAATAACTTTACGCGAGTTAATGCACGTATACATACATCGATCGTATCTAACATATGTTTGTATTTAAGAGACAGTGAAGGACAAGTAAAAAAATAAAGACTAATCGCGCCACCACAATCGCGATACCTTATTTTTATTCCGAGTTTCCGTGACCAACCCTCGCGATAACTTCGTCTAAGATTTTCGCGAGTTCTTTATTTTCCTTGGTTTTCTGCTCCACAAGCTCAGCGAGTGAAGTGCTTTTAAGCTCTGCTTTCCTTATCATTGCGTGCAACTTGACTGTTTCCGCCTCATTCTGCTTTCGTATTCCATCCAACTCCAGATTAGCCCTAAAATATATCGAAATATATTAATGTCAAAATATGACATATTAGTTTGTTTCCCTTTAAAAATATTGGTTGCACATACTTTTCTAGTTGAGCCATTGCATGTTCCTTGAGTTGATCGTATCGTGTTTCCAATGTTTTTATAGTGTCTACATTTTCCTGGATACTTTCTTTTAATACAGTTTCATTATTTTTATATACTGATACAACTCCTTTAAGTCTTTCATATTTTTGGTGGACATCGTTAAACGCTGCTTCCGTATTAGTTAGATGGTGATTTGCAGCTTGCAGTTCCTCTTGCAATTTTGCCTTATCTTGTTCGAAGCTTGTACGATCTCTTTCCCGCTCTGTGAGCAATCTGCTAATCGACTTTTCGTATTCTTCCACGACAACCCTAAACCAATTATTTTATTTTATTTTATTCTCACTCTAAATAAAACTAAATAAATAAATTTCTGAGTAAGTTACTTACGTCATCTGGGTTTTGGTTTTTATTTCTTGTGACATCTGTGCCTGTAGTTTATTAATTTTTTCCTGAAAAGTTGCTTTCTGTCTTTCTAATTCTGCTTCGTGCTCTTTTTTCTGTTTTTCTAATTCTTCCTCCAATTGTAGTACCGTCGTTCTTACAAGTTCAAGTTCTTTACTCATGTCGATATGATCGATAAGTGGTGCGTCGGATTTAGGCTCTTCTATTGGTTGCTCCTGAACATAAAGCAGTAGTATAGTATATTCATATGTAGTAAGAAATATACAAGTAGAGAAAAATGGAAAATAAATTTTTACTTACATTTTTTTCTTGAGCTTCCTCTAACTTTTGCACTGTCGCATTAGGAAGAGGGCTATAAAAAAGCAGTCTGTCTATAGCCGCTATGGCAGGATTGCGTTTTGGTGTACCAACATCAGGAAGTGGTGATTCATTTTTGTCATTTTTTTCTTCGTTTATCGTTTGGGCATTTCCTTGAGGCAACATGCTAGTATTCGATACCAACGGATCAAACTTAATATATAAGGATTCGGCTCTAAGACGATTTGTATGCGTAGAATTACTTCGTGCTAACAAGAAATCAAATGTCGAAGGATCTTGGAAAACTGAAAACAATAATATATTCGTGTAATTAATTCATCTCAATAATAAAATCACGAAAAGTGCAGGTTTCAAGAGCTTCTAATACTACTTACTTTCAGGTGTTGCGCTGACAAATTGATCTGTATCTTCTGTGAGCTCCAGTGAAGGATTGAGTATTTCATTAGTAACTTTTTCCACCGTAGATTTTAATTCTTCAAAATACGACAATGTAGTGCTTTGTCGTTGAGGTTTAAATTCCTCGTATTGTTCTTCATCTGGTGCAAAGTTTATATCTTGTAAAGTAAGCGTATGATCGAGATCTTCAACAGATGTTTCTTTTTTAACAGCCCTTGTCACAGCTGTACTTTCCACAATATCTTTTTCTTTTTCTGCAATTACAGTTTCTGATGAATTACATTGTTTTTCGTCAATAACACAAGTCTCATTACATATGGCAATTTCTTCTTCAGATAATTCATGTATTTCATTCAATACTACTGTGCTATTCTCTACTTTTAAATCTTTTTTATCGACACTTGGTTCCACCAAGTTTTCTTCAACTTTGGATGTTTTTGGTTCTATAATACTGGTCTTATTAAGTAATTGTATGTTATCTTCTTTATCTGACACAATGTGATTAGTGTTATCTAATTCAGGCAACTCTTGCTCCTTGATAATTTCCTTTTTTTCAACTTGAAAAACAGAGCTTTTTACAATTTCTTGCGATAATTCACCCGATTTTTGATCGAGATTGTCGCAAGGCGACAATACTGCAGACAATACTGTATCTTGCTTAAACTCCGATAAAGCCTGTATACTCCTTTCTTTCGTTTTGCTGTCAGTATCTTCTAATGGCAACGATATACTGGATACATTGGGTAACGAAAGATTCGCATATTGCGCTAACGAAGATATGGACGGAACAGAAATTTCGGTAGGACACAATTGTGGATCTTCTAGAGGTAACGTTTCGGCGCTACAATTGTTTTCTACTGCCTGCTCTTCGCTAATTGTAAACGCGATCGCGTTAAAAGTTGCATCAGTAGATGAAATAGCAGTCGTTATATTCAATTGATTATCATTTACGTTACTCGTTGGCAGTGAATCCTCTACAGGATTACTCACGATGTCGCACGTTTCAAGCTCACTTACTATATTATCATTTTTCTGTATTAACTGAATATGCTTATCAATCGATTCTTCTACTTGTAGTACGTATTCTTCCGCAGGAGGATATGAAATCACGAACTGTGAATCTTGCACGGGAGGTATGTTGTTAGATGATCCCAAAATTTGCGTTTGATTCAAGGATGATGGTTCGTGTAATTGGGGAATTGTTTCAATCACTTGTTGCGTTTCACTCGTATCGGCATTGTCCAACAAATCTTCGTTAAGGGAACAATCGCTTGTGGGAAACGGTGTCTCGTCTATGGCCGATGTAAACGTCTGATCTTGACTGAGATCCTGACTGTCTGCGTCGCGTTCACTTCCCAAATGGATGTCTGCACACGCGAGGATTAAATCTTCTAGACCAGGTATTTCGGAGTTCACATATGACGTATCTGCGGCGTTATCAGGAGTTTCGGATGTCGAATCAGGACATATGCCGCTACTGCTCTTAGTGCTGAGAGTGCTGCTCAGGCTATGGAAACTACTGGCCGACGAAAGACTCTCCGGAGCTAAGCAGAGATTCTCCGTGACCGATCCTACATCGGCAAACTCACGAGCAAAACGAACCTTGACCTCATGCTCTGCTGTCTTCGGGACAGTCACGGGACTATCGTTGCCGCTCTGAAAATAAAATATACATCATTAAGATACGATTTACGAGAACACCATACCTCTTTCCTTTCTTTTAAATAAATGATCTATATGTATTCGAACACGAATACACGGCGGTTTAGAGATGAGACTTGTTTAATATACAGCAGAAATATTCCGTGTCGGCATCTTTTATAATGAAAAAACTTGATTCGATTTTTACTTGTCACAAAGATTTATAAACAATCGCGCCAATCTGTGTTAAAGAAAGTTTTACAGAAAATGCCTTCGAAGGAGTATGCGACGTAATATACCATCAGCGTGGGCGAGGGAGATGTTTTTGGACCTGTGGCACGATGCAGAAGTTTATGGATATACTCCATATTACGCTTTAATCGCAATCGATTTGTAATCTGCGAAATATCAACGCTTACTGACGACTTTGCGACTACACCGCGCTAAGTCAGCTGACAGTACGAGATCTGGCAATTTTCGTAAAAGAAATTGCGCAATTCACGCCTCGCTCAGGCTAATTATAAAACATCGAGAGAGAAAGGTTTTAGTAATGCCAGATTTGTTCCGCTCGCTTTTACAAGATGACGACAGCTACGGAAGTAACAGTCTCAATAACGTTATATCGGGCAAAAGGATGCTGAGAGTGGTGAATATTTGTTAATTTTCAGCGAAAAATGTGATGTAACGGTATCGATATAAGGCGTGGCAATTAAATGTAAAAGAACATACAGTCACCGTAAAACGATTAGAAGACTACAAGAATCACGGATTTTCCCACAAAAAAAAAAAAAAAAAAAGTAAAGAAATGTAAAATTTAATTTATCGATGTATAAATTCGATTCGCTAGAAATTACATTCGTGTAATTACTATGGCTTTCTATATTCATAATTAAATTAATATACTATACTATACTATTGTGAAAATAAACAGAATATTGTTTTTTTTTCATATACACGAGGGAACAAACTCTCTGATTACGCTATTAATAAGACATTAAAGAAATAATAAGTAAACGCTTTATTACGTATCGCAAAATTACCTTTAAAAGATTATTTCCCATGACTTTTCGACTTTTGACTGTCTGCACTGACACGTACACAACGTGGTCTCATATTTACACGCGAGTTCAAAGAACCCTATACAGTAAGACGGGGTATCACTTCTCTTTCTATGTTTCTACCCCTGACACGATTATATCTTCCGTCGAATATATCGCGTATAAATATTTAAATTAATACAAGTTTTTCATCTTTGTTATTCTAAGTGCTACCTATATTTTCAATACAATGCAGTATTCGGTTCATTTCTATTTAAATTTTTAGCTATAATTATCAATATTTTTAATGATCTCGCTTTTCTTCTTCAAATATCAAACATATCAACATGATTTATTATAATCAAATCAGTAAAACATAACTAGTTATATTTGAAAAAAATTATTTATACTAATGTTATTTTCAGAAAATAGAAAACGGGAATTGCGTCACTGGGCAAAACGCAAAGCACAAATTAATTTTCCTGGAAACAGTCAATAAAAAATAAACGAAAAGTATAACGCAAAAATGACAATCTAATTTATATTACGAAACACGAGTCTTTCGCGATCCTTATTCGGCGATCCTTGTTCGGCGTGCTCTTGACATCATCGAGATTGCAACGCAACCATCGGAATGACTCATTCTCACTTGACCGCGCTGACAGAGGCTTCATCACTATCTCGGGGTGTGTCTCTCTCATCCCTCAATAAGATAAGCAACCCTTTCTCTAGTTCTTAGCGCGTATTTAAGCGCAACACTTTAACACTTTGATGCAAACGATGATGTTTCTAAGTTTCTTTAGGTAAAATTACGCAAATATATCTATACGCATGAAGAAACTTTAGAAGGAGGCACACGCGATTCTTATCGCATTTATATTACGTCATTACACTAGGTCGGGTAATGACCTTTGGAAAAAAAACAATTCGAAAAATTAACAGAGACACATTATCAAATGATTATGATATATTGATAATAAAAAATTATAAAGGTAATTACATAATCTAAAATCATGAACAGATAAATATACAAATTGTGCGATCTGCGTAATAAAATCAATTAATAGAAAAGCATGCTCTATTAAAAGAGCGATCATTAACGAGAACGAAAAAAATGATAAAAAAGAAAGATGAGCAATAACGATCTAAAATCTAAATAAAACGATACAAAGAACACAAGTAAAAGAGAGCGATTGATAAAATATATAAACTATACAACATGACAAACGTCAAATCAAGTTTCTTTTCTAATCGATCGGAATACACCTATCGCTCTGACATATTTTTGAGGTCGTGCATTCGAGTACACAACACGAGGATGTTCTCGTAAAATTTGTTTCAGAGAGAAGAAAGGAAGATGTTCCGCGAAAGCGGACCCAAAATTAGGGTCCGTGGCAGGAGATGAACGGCAGAGATATCTCTAGTCAAAATTCTAATATTAGCCCCGCGCGTTCTCTAGTCGATACTCCAGACGTCCACCGCCACCACTACTAATACCTATCGCTACTATCATACTACCACTACTACTACTACCACCACCACCACCACCACCACCGTGCACCGCCACCGTCATCGTCGGCATAGCCAAGCACACTTGGCAGCACGATGAATGTGTACGTGCATGTGCACGCGCGACAAGTCGTCCAAGAAGAAGAGAACGAGGGAAAGGATAAGACAACGGGAAACCGCCTCACCTTTTACAAACTAAATTGGAAATCCTCGACGTCAAGGAAAGCTTCACACGACGTTGTCACGCGTAGATCGGACTTTTGGCAAAGGCTGCACCGCGGGTAACATCGCCTCCACCATGCCACGATGATGATGCGTACTAACACTAGCTGCACCGAGCCATACCGTCCAGCCGCGCACACGCCGTACGGACATTATGCCGCAAAGATCACCAACTATGGAAGTGGTGGGAACAGGATTCTCGGCCATCGAGCCGCGTAAGAGTCGCGCAACCGACCGGCGTGGCGCTATCTGGAGCGATGGCAACACACTTGGTAATGGAACGTCGCGAGATAAAACAAGTGTACTGGAGATTGCAGAAGAGAGCTATTCCAGGCCATTCCAGACAAAACATCGAAGGATAGGCATCGTCAGTATAAGTCTCGGTGAGGCAATTCGATGAGAAAACAAAGATATCTTTTTTTTTTTATATCGCCAATCAATATCTGTAATATAGGCGCAATGTTATGCATGTACGAATAGATAAATAATTGCAACATCTATGCTTATTCATGTATAAATGAATCGTGACGCAGAGAGATACATGGCGAGACAAAGTATTGCCCTGATAATATTACAAATATTACGATTTATATCATATATGTATATAAATATAACATAGAGATACATAAAAGTCTACCGAATGAAAATTAATAGAGACAAAACGGAGAAAGTTGATAATTTAAAAAAAAAAAATGAAATGACTTTAAAAGAATCATTCTCAAAAAAAGAATTGAAATATTTACGATTCAAGCCTGTTTATATTATAAAATTCCATTTGAATCACCCACAACTTCCCTAATAATTGTCAGAAAAATTAATTATGAAAAAATGAGTAAAAAAAAATATTCGAGCTATCTGGAGAAAGCATTTTTGTATCGGAAAACATTAGAAAATTTAGCTTAAAATTTAGATAAAAATCTCGAAATAAAAAATATCTACGAAAATTTGCGTTCCTCATGCACGTGTTAAAGAAATGCTCTCGCGTGACGGGAAGCAAAACTTATTTTTGTTTCAAGGTACTTCTGGAGATACGGAGTTTATTTATAGGAATACATTCTCCGGTCTGACTGTCAGCCGCGTAAACGGAGAAGGAAGCGCGAAGAAGGATGTAAAGAAAACATGCGGACGAGAAGCGTGCGATAGGAGCAGATCGTGTCGGCCGTCGTTATTTCCTGAAAGCGTATTATTAATTCCATGCAAACGAATGTGAGAAAAGTATCGTCGCGAAAGGGCATTAGTACATTCCTGTCATGCTTTTCTCATCGTCAGAGTACTTAATTCTCTCAACGAAATATATAATAAAAAGAAAATGAAAAAAGACAGTATTGAAATGATAAAATATATGTTTAATAATTCGTTAATAGTACCTTTCGTCGAGAAGGATGAATCGGTGAAGAATTGTGGAGAGTCGCGGTTATTTCTTTCAGTATAATTCTTGTGCCCTCGCGAATAGATCCTTTTGGGCTCGACATTCTCAGACTCTCTCCCTCTCTTTCTCTCTTTCTCTTGAATACACCGAATTTTTCTTGATTTCCTAATATAAAATATCGTAGAGATAACACCATTTTTAATCAAAAATAAATTTGAAAAAAATATTAGAATTAGTCAGACTATTTAAATGTTTTGTCTCATATATTATTTCAACAATAAATAGACAAAAAATATATGGAGTATATATACTCCATACATATATGAATATTACGTATATACATTTTTTTTTAATGAAAAAAACTGTTTAAGAATATTGAAAAAATTACGATTTTATAAATTTCGCAAATGAAAAGACGTCTTATAAATTTTGCCGATAGATTTAAGAGCCTGATCGAGCCTCGATTTAAGAGTCCTCCCTCCCTTCCTCTAACCTTTTGAACTTTTACACTGTAGAAAGTTGCAATATATATATATGATCCACGCAAGGAAGAATTGACTTTACTTACAGAGATTGAGAAATTCGAGAAACGGTAAAGCTCGTATACTTTCGCTCTCGAGACTTGCTTTGAGGAGAACAAAGAAAGATTTCAATGCGCAGAGGCGTGTTTACACTAGCACTTTTGTCACTCCAAGTGTGTCACCGGCACTGGCATCGGACTCGACAAATCCGTCTTGGCCAACGTAGATTCCTAGTGCATGTAATTCAACCTTCACACCACCGTCAGCCGTCAACTGCCGTCCGTACTGTACGTAATACGTATGTATGTACACGAGCGAGCGTCCGAGCGAGCGAATTCGCTGCGCGATTCACGATCGTTTGACTCTAACGGCTGCAAGCCGTTTGATAAACTTGAATGCGAATGTAGTAGCGAATCAGAATGCGCCATTGCGTTTAACTGGTCGACACCGCGCGGCGCCACTCGAGACTTCCCGTTGCAAGGTCGGTAAGGCAGTACTATCGACGCGAGCGTGTAGTGCCACGATATTAATATCGATCGTCGTTCAATTTGAAAGTATCAAGACTCGACTTCCCGCCTGTCGCGCATCTGTTGCGCTGCCGCTGCGCCGCGCCGATATCAATCGACAGCTGTCGACGGCGATCGCACTCGATTAAAATGAACTCCCTTCGATTGTCTGTGAATCTATTATTTAAAAAAAAAAGAAGAAATATCTAAAACTGTGATATTCGATCTGAAGATTATTAATTAAGGTGGTTTTATCGCTCAACGCCAACTGATCGATAGTGTGTGTGTGTGTGTGTGACGTTGTCACATAAACGTCGCACAGCTATGCAAAATGTTTTTATTGAATTATTTATAGTCATATGGAGGGACTAACTTTTGAATTTTGATTGGGACTTGCCCGATAAAACCACCTTAAGGCCATTAGATTGTTTTATTTACTGTGAACACGCTTTCCAAAACATTTTTGCATTTTTCTAGTTGATGAATTTTGCTATTCGCTACAATGCGCAGCAAACGGATTCGTTAGTATATAATTTTATTAAAATATAAATGGATTGAGATAATTTAAATGTAAATTTGCAAAACATTTATTGTCAAATTCATCATACAAATATGTATAAACCGCCATGTTGTTACATGCCAGGCGGTGTGCAAATTCACCACAAAATTTTAATGCTTACATTAAAGATTATTAGTCTTTTTTTTTAATATTTTAATTAACCGTCATACTCAATCTCCTGCTTTCATCCCTCACCATTCATTCTCAATTTAAGAGGATATAAAGAAATTGTTTTTAATATTTCATTCATCGGAAAGAATTTCATAATATACATAATAAAAATGCATTCATCCGGCCAGATAACGCACCGCTGCGCCGTAATACACTGTATTACAATAAAGCGAATTGTATAAAAGAATACTATTAACAAAGCTCTCTTTCAAAAAACAGGTAGAAATAATCATTTAAGGCCACTTGTTGTATAAACATTATTCGTCTTCTTACGTCTTTGCAATGTATATAATGTAGTAAAGTTGAGCCTAATCTCTGTGTTAATGTAAGGCGCGCGAAATTTCACCGTATTGGGTACAATCACAGAAAGCAGTCATGTATGACTGCTATTTAGAATCATAAATGTGCTGCGAGAGGTATTTATAGACAACACAAAACCATAAAGCAAGTGTCTGTAATAAAATAAGTGATGTTGAATTAATTGTGCTATTTTATATGTATTATTTCAAAAAAATGCTTGATATCTTGTACTGAGTCTTACTGTTATTTCGAAAGTACAATCGTTCAATATGGAAAGGATGCGATTAGAAAGCATCGTATTATTTACAATAACGTGTCACAACGTGTTCACAATGTGTTATCAACATTATTTCCTCATATCTGCGTTTTTTCAAAATATCTCACGTTTCTATATGAAATATTGTGCTGTAATTCTATATACGATTATACGGTATAACAATTTACCATATATAATGTGTATACAAAGTACTTGCAAATATTTAGTTATGTATAAGGATGTAACTGAGGTGTAGGGCATGTTGATAATGGAGAATTCTTTTGATTACTAGACGGTGGAGTTAAGAGGCCACTCTCGTTCGGACTTTGTCTACCAGATTCCACATTTGCATCCGAATCGTTCACATAACCGCTCGAAATATCTCCAGCTAATCGCTGCTGCGCCTTTTCCAACATATTCAAATCGACTACATGAGTCTGTATGCGATGCGATTCGTCTACAACGATATTAGGTACAGTGGCCTTCAGTCCAGATCCAGAGTGCGATTCTACAGGCGTGATCGTAGATCTTAAAAGAGACTGGGATTCCTCTTCCGCGACGGTAGTAGCAAATGCTGTAAGCCATTTTACACAAGGAGCAAGCTGTTCCCACGACAATCGGGATACCCTTAATGCGCATTCTCTTCCTTGGGTATGGTAAATTGCTGCTGCAGCTATGTGGCTGTACGGAAACTTCAAACAACCTTCGTCCAAAGTCGCCAGATCTAATAGTTGTGCCGCTTGAGAATATTGCAATCCACCATACTGCGGATATATGAAAGTATTTGGTCTGGATGAATCGCCCGATTCAATCTGCATGTAAATATTGAGCCATCCTGGTGCGGTTATCGGGGACAGATTCCATCCAAGTCCTTTCAAGATCATCAACTCCTTTCCCAAAATTTCTTCTTCCGTACAGGCTCCATCGGTGACGTATGCAAATTCCGCGATTTTAGGCGGATATATCTCTTCAACCTGTAAAATCATTTTATTTTTCTCAATTTTTCTTCATTTCTAAATCTCCCTTGCTACACACTATAAATATATTTTCAAAAATAAAAAGTGAAAATAAAATTTTTATTTTTACTCCTTTTTCTTAATCATTTAATTCATATCATAAAATAAATGGAAAAATATATATTAAAAAAAGAAAAAAAGATTACAAACCTTAGAAGCAATAAAAAGGCAAGTTATTCCTATAAGTTGCAATTGATTTTTAGGTACGTCTTGATGAATAGACAAATATCTGTCTATATAGTCCATAGCAAGGTAATAAGTCTCCCTATGTAATTTATACACCTCGCAGACCTCGATCAACCAATCTAATAAAATGGCTCTCATTCGTGGCTGCAACGTTGGATGCCTTTGGAACATTTCTGGATCCCTCTGAATTACAGTTTTCTGATCCCCAAGGCACATAAGAGACCATACTTGAGAGCCATCAGCCCATGGAAGAGACGGCAGTGGACTAGGTCTAATTGATGTGCTATTGGAGGCTGAGGGTGTTAAGAAACAGGTCGCAGTTCTTAATTCAGACCATGTAGCTGGCTCCTGCTGTTCCTTTAATGGAGATGTCTGATGTTGGAGAGTACACGTGGCATCCACCGACGGGGTGGTTTGACAAGATTCCGCATATGAGACATGAGACAGTGTAGGTACTTTACTAGGTGGATATATGTTTTCTGAATCTTCCGAGAGTTCTGTGGTGTTACGTCTCTTCCGTTTCAAAGACTGCGCCTTGCCACCTTGCAGATAAGTTTGTGACTTTTTTTCCTGCAAGCTAAATATAGAAGAAAACATTTTATTTCTTTCTGCGCAACGTTCGTCGACGTATCATCCACAACAATTCTAACAATTTCCAACAAGCGAATGTAAACAAAGGTTACTATCAACTAATATATAAAGTTCAACAGTCGTCGAAAATTTTTTTGAGCTACGGTAGTGTTAATTTGCAGATTTACAACGTAAAGAGCGCTATCTAAACAACTAAAGAAACAACAAATTATTATATCGATAAAGGAAAGCTGCTAAAATCAGAGAGGAAAGAAGGTTATAGGTGCGCGAGGTTCAAGTATGGACAGAAAAAAAATTTATTTTTAATCGAGAGCAATGGATAGGCGTTGAATCGATTTCATCATAAACTAAATGTCCCGGAGACCACGGAAGAGAGATATATCTGAATTTTAACGTGAAATGTAATATCGATCACTCACCTGTTCTGTGGCATCTTGCCGCGGGATTGCCAACGTGTAAGGAAAATATTTGTCAGCGGAAAAAATTTTTTCCAATCGCACGCGACAACGGAGACCCTTGGAACGAGCGTCCACACGATTTTCTTGATTCAGGCGCAACTATTTCCTTGGAAAAACGACGAAAAGCTGAGGAGCGCGCCAAGTCTACGAGCATCCGATCGCCATAATGCACGTTCTCTCGGCAGTCTTTGATTCAACGTAGCGACTTGGGATTTTCGTTCGTTGTCAATTTTGGCGGACGGAAAATTCATTTATCTCCTCTGCGAGCTATTTTGCGGCGTGTGCGAGCCGCGATTCAACGATATTCCGACAAAAATAGAGGACGTGGATCTGGAAGCGCGGGAGACGAGCCGACGAGCGCGCGCGAAACGACGACCAACCCCTGTACGCCCTGTAACGCCCTCTATATGCGCTACATAACCTCCTAAAGAAGGGGCAAATTTTGGAGATATTTATGATACATTTCAGGCAGAAGGCCGTCGACGATACCTCGACTCCTGGATATTCCTCCTTTCGCGTGTCGGGCCTGATTTTTCAGTCCCGTGAAACGCGACTCCAAGATGAGCGTCCTTCCGCGAGATACCGCGCGCGTTTCGCCAGCTCGTTTGGACAAAGTTATCAGCCAAAGTGCAACGATAGACGACTGTCTGCAGACAGATGCGTGTCCCAGTGTCCTGGGGACGATACGCAGGCGGCTCGCGGGCGGTAAACGGATCGTCCGTCGAGGCCCAGTGCTGGCCGTGCAGCTACGGCGTCGCGCACGTCGCGCCGTATTTCGGTTCCTGCTCGTTCGGCTTCGGCGTTGCCGCGCTCTCTCTCTCTTTCGTTTTACGGATATCACATCAGCTTCGGCGTCGGAACGGGAATCGCGAGCACTCTCGCGAGCTCGCGCGTACGGGTTAACACGGCACTACACGCTTGCGGAAGATCGCGCGATACTTGGAAGACGCGAACACGGACACGTTTCTGCCGCGTACGCGAAGCGAACTGGCGCCTGCTGCAAATTGGCGTTTCGCGGGAACGCCAGAGTGATGGGCGCCACGCCGCGCTGCTGTCCCCGTCACCGATTGGCCGGCGCGCGCGGCACAGCTGGCGCTCAGCTGATCCGACGTACTCACACAAAAACACCATCAGTGCGAGTGTGCACACGACTGCATCGTCGCCGCGTCGACCACGCGGGAAATATGCGCGCGTAAATCGTCCTCGCCTCGTCTCGTTCGCGGGCTTTTCCTACTTCCGCGGCGCCCGGCGGGTCGAGCCGTTCCGGGCCGAGGAACCTCTTGCCACGTATCCACTGCGCCATTACACCTCTGCCTATGTGATATTATACATTACTGCTAATTATAAGCGTATAATGAGATTGCCGCCGGCGTATTGCTCTCACTATTTTTCGCATTACTTGTCACAAACTATGAAACAGTGATACGTGTGACGTAAATATGTTTGGCCAAATATTACGATATATTAATAATGATGTAAAAAGTTGAAGATTTTTTTAATAGAAATCAACTTGAATATCCAAATATCGGGAATATTTCGAATTTCAAAAAACAAAATAAATCACGTCAAAAATACGTCAAAAGTAAATTGTAACTTTTGTTCCATAGCGTTGCGTTTTTTTTTTTATTATAATCCACCAAGATTATAAATTTATTATCTATTATTTCTTAAATCAAGCGACACCTGCAGCTGCTCATTTCTATTATGGTTCACAGAAATAGGTAAAAATTGCAAAAGTGAGTGAATTTACTAGAAAATTTATAATTTCATTGGTCACGTCATCTAGTGAATTTGCACATTTTTGTAATATTTATCAATTTCCGAGAATCGTGATAAGCCTCTTGAATTTAACGCGCTATTCTGTCTGCTATTTTACCTACAGGTGCATTATGTTTTCAGAAAACGACCGCGATATGGCGCCCCTGTCATCTAGTCTTCTCGCAAGAGTTTAATCAGTCTGGATCACAAGTTGTTCAAGTTGCTCCGGACTAATGTCGCGCGTGGAATACACACGCAAGCTTAGATTAGTGTGCGTAAATGTAAATAGGGGAGGAACTGATGGTGAGCAATAGAATTGACACGACTTTTCGCAATTTTGCTTACTCATATATTGCAGGAGAATCTCTTCGTTTTCTTTTATTAATTAAGCAAGCAATAGTGTCTTGTGCAACGTATGGTTATAAGATATCTAATGCGCGCAATTATTAATGGAAAGAAATAAAGATACATATATATCATGCCATCTTTGAGATTAATGTCATTTTCGTAATCTTTTTTCTGCAATAACAAGTAAGAGAAAATTTCATTTTTTTCCTGACGGGATACAATTGAATTTGTGTGTTGCGAGTGTGTTCAATCGGTGTACATAGAAATTATAATAGATCAAGATTCATACATGACTATAGTCGATTTTTCATCGTTTTATCAACGAATATTATTATTATAAATTTCCTTACAGGAAGGTAATGAATCATTAGACAAGAGTCGCGTACGGGCGTCATCCGTCATAGCGATATATTATGCGACATGGTAGGGCATATAACGTACGATATATAATACGGTACTGAACCCGATAGTAAAGAAAACAAAGGAAAAGAAAAGAATCGACGCGAGTCTACTTAACGCAACGCTCGATTGGCAAATGTTGGCAAGCTTTGACGACGACGCGAGTGACGAGACGACAAAGCCAAAGCGAAACGCAGCGCGGAACCGCTTGGAATCCTCCGTATTCCATGGCGCCGTCGCCGTTGCCGTGGTGCGAGGCGCCCATGTGAGTCGCTGCAGCCCTGGCTTTCTGGAAATCGTCAGCGGTCCGGGGCCATTAAACGCGTTATATGTGTCTTGCAATTTGATCCCGCGGCGCTCACAGTGCAGTGCCCTGATCGGAGAGTAATTTACGCGAATTCCTGGGCATCCGGGTCTCTGTGCGGCGCTAGACCTTCTGGGTTCCTTCTCACGCCCGATGCCACCGTTGTCCCTCCGCTCCCGTTGTCGCGCAGCATCCGACACACTCGTCGAACCGTACGTCGACGGTCGACGGTCGACGGTCACTAGGAAGACGGTGTGCGCGCACACAGCATTGTCTTGCCGATTCTTCGGTGAGTAAACGAGACGCATCGCGCGCGTCGCATGATCATGATCGTCGGCAGTCGGCACCAACGCGCTCATTCAATCTCGATCGTGGGTCAGCGATCGTGTCAACGGTCAACGGTGAATGGTGACAGTGAATTACGCGCTCGTATCGCGTCATGAAACTTTGCTTGTCACGAAATCTTCGTACTTATGTTCATCCAGAAAAGAAAAAAAAATCTTGTCATTTTTGTTAATCACGAATTCGATTGTAGCTCGATTAGCATGCACTTTCTACTTATTATAATGATGAAAATTAATACTACGCTCTTGTGCAAATACACATTGCAACATTGTATAACGTTGAAAATTTCAGTATAATTAAAAGACGTAAATAAAAGTTGTTGTTTACTATTGGTTCAGAGTTTAGAAATAACACTCAAGAGAGGCTATATTTTTGCAGAATAAATAAATGCAAGTTTCTGAGTAATGCAGGGCATGATGCCGGTTAAGACAAAATCACGTGTTCCCGAAAATATGGGGGTCACAGGTGGACTGGTGGATGCCCGTGCTAAGCAAGTTTTAAGAGAGGCCGTAGATGCAGTCGTTAATAGCTTTGCAAAACATAGTCAAGGTTATGGCAGAGGTATATATAATAAAATCTTGGCTCATTTTTATAGTAGCTATTTCAACATTTTTAATTTTATATAAAATTATAAGTATAAATATGTATATATATACTTTTTTCTTTCTTACATCTGCAGTAAATGTTGTGGAAGCATTGCAAGAATTTTGGCAGATGAAACAAGCCAGAGGAACAGAATTGAGAAATGGTGCACTAGTTATTTATGAATCCGTTCCTGGCGCCAATCCACCTTACATTTGCTATGTAACGCTTCCTGGAGGATCTTGTTTCGGAAGCTTTCAAAACTGTCCCACAAAGGCAGAAGCACGCAGATCAGCTGCAAAAATCGCGCTAATGAATTCTGTATTTAATGAACATCCATCGCGTAAAATTACCGATGATTTTATTGAGAAAGCTGTTGCAGAGGCAAGGGCTAGCTTTGCCAAACCTTCAGCAACGTCAAATGGAGTTGGTAGCACAGCACAAGTAAATAAAAAAAATATTTAAAGTTATTTATTACATTAAATTACAGTAAAAGATGCTTAATATGCATGTGCTTTCAGGGAAGTGGTGACGAGAAAGAAGATCCAAACACAGGTATAGGTGCGTTTCGTTTTATGTTGGAATGCAATCGTGGAAGAACAATGTTGGAATTCCAAGAGCTAATGACAGTCTTTCAATTGCTTCATTGGAACGGCTCTTTAAAAGCCATGAGAGAGAGGCAGTGCAGCAGACAGGAAGTAGTTGCGCATTATAGTCATCGGGCATTGGACGACGATATGCGTAGCCAAATGGCGTTAGACTGGGTTGCTAGAGAGCACGAGAGTGGTGGCGGGATCGTGGCAATGGAATTGGCCTTGGCCGAGCGTGAACTTGAAACTGCCCGATTAGCGGGACGAGAACTTAGATTTCCAAAAGAAAAGAAAGATATATTAATGCTCGCACACGCGCAGGTCTGTCCGCAGTGAATTCTAACACAAACGTTGTTGAGATAAATAACGCATAAGACTGGTCTTTCGCGAAGAATAAGTTTTGAGAAAGAAAAAAAAAATAGTTAAATTTAAAATTGCTTTATGAAGACCGTTTTTACTTTTAATTCTTTTTAAGGCCTATTTTGTGGCGAAAATATTCCGTCCTTTTTATATAAAGCACATTTCTTTATAGAGCTTTTCTTTATAAAGCATTTCTGGTGATAATAGATCTTAAATGGGATATTTTGATATATAGAAATACTTTAGTATATATAAAAAATTCGTCTAAGAGTTACAAAGGTATACACTTGCATTTTTACATATATACAAGTTTACTTATATGTGTATATATTTTGGGCTTTGTCTTCCATTATCTATATTTCGGAAAATATTTCTGCTTAATCGTTAAGAGTACAATTCGGTCAATAGGATCGGCAGACGTAATTTCACAATGCACGTTCGGAATTGAAAAAGGATATAAAATATGTGCGCGCGCGCGTGCGTGTGATATTCACAATAATTGTAAACTATAAACAGAATTTTTAAGATAAAATTTTAAGATAACGATTATACAAACAGGGTAGGTATATATAAAAGCGACACAATTCATTTTTATGATTTATACGCTGAGACTATAAATTTTAAATAACTTACATTACGTATTATAAACGGAAGGAAACTATTAGTACACAACAATATTCTTTAAGTGAAACGGTTTTTTATATTTTGCAAGTTAAATACTTGCTTTTATCAATATATCACGCTTGAAAATATACTGAAGAAATAGATTATATCATTCTAATACTCATTCACATATTGCTGTTATAAATCAGTATGTTTTATATATGCCAATTTGAAAGTGAATATATCACTTTCAGTTGAATAGGATACAGTTTATATAATTGTTTTATAAATAGTTTATTATTAAATAATGATACATCTTTTTAATGCATTTGTTACAATATAACAATAAGATGGAACCCATGTATCCATCCTATCCAATAATATTAAGATTTTGTCGTTATATTTTCTGTTTTCTCCACTGTTGCTTCTGCAGTTTCTTCTTGCATAGGATGGGCCAATACTTTATCTACAATTCCAAACTCTTTAGCTTGTGTTGGGGTCATAAAGTTATCTCTCTCCATGCTTCTTGCTGCAACATGATTTTTCACGAAATAAAATACATTTTTTACATATGATAAAGATGCCTAGAAAAGACGTCGATGGCAGGCATACCTATTTTTTCTAAATCCTGGCCGGTGTGTTTAACATATAGCTCGTTGATCTGTTGTTTCAATTTAAGAATTTCTACAGCTTGTATCTGGATATCTGTAGCTTGTCCTTGTACTCCTCCCGATGGTTGATGAATCATGATTCTAGCGTTCGGTAAAGAATGACGCATGCCTTTGGTTCCAGCTGCTAGAAGTAGACTCGCCATAGAACATGCTTGACCTACACACCATGTGGAGATAGGGGGAAGAACATATTGCATAGTGTCGTATATTCCAAGTCCTGCTGTCACACTCCCACCAGGTGAATTTATATACAAATGAATCGGATTTTTACTGCTTTCCGATTGAAGGAAAAGAAGTTGAGCAATTACTGCAGAAGCTACAACATCTGTGACCTATACAAAAAGATAATTCAACTCATTTTCTTAAAATTTTAAATTAATGTGTAAATATAGTGTAATAAAACAAAGTTATGCTGCCGTACCGGACCCATAAGACAGATAATTCTTTCCTTCAGAAGACGCGAATAAATGTCATATGAACGTTCACCACGTCCACTTTGTTCCACTACAATAGGAACAAAATTCAAGTATCTACTGCTCACTTTGTGTCCATAAGCCTGTTGGAAAGAAAGAAGAGCAATTTAATTTGTCAGTTTTCACAAAGAGATTATTTCAACAGATTTAATCATTTTCATTGAGAATATCTTTACATGAACAAAATACTCACGGTGATTTGCAGTAAATTATTTATTCTTTGCAACATCTTCACACATAGAATGGTAATAATATCGCAATAATTGTTTAGAAAGAAATGTTTTTCGACAAGAGAATTCACGTAATAGGAAGAATATGGTGGCAATCACGCAATATCTCTGACAGAGAGAAAAAACAAACAACTTATTGTGCTATAAAAAATATAAAAAAATTCAATGTCAAATATAACCTATAAACGTAAACGACCGAACATTCACTGGTAAAATATATAATATAAAATAAGTTCTGGGAGATATTCGTCAGTAGATCGTACTGGGCACAAATGTAAGAGGAAAGAACCTTTCATGCCTATTAATTTGCTTCTTTTTATTATATTAAAATGCAGATTTTAGACTATTATTTATTCCTTCGTATAGGTTATATTATACATTTCTAAATACACACTCTTTCTCTCTCTCTCTCTCTCTCCTGCTCTCTCCAATAGAATTTTTCAGTAATTCGCGGCACACATTTAATTATTTTTTATTCAAGCGATTCAAGATTTTCTATGTAAATCAAATTCCTTAGATCGAAATTTAGGTTTGTTCTTTTCACGGGTATATACGCGATATGACCCCGTTGACCCGTTATGAACGAGTAACGTAAAACGTTATATTTGTTTTCGCAACACCGGCAAAAGTTTTGCCCTTCGCCATACACTAGCGCCAATCTAGCACTTCCATTTTTCAGATAAAACTACTATCACTGCCATTTTTTGATACTGCCGATAAAATCATAGGCAAAGAGAATGAAAGTGGTTTGAGTCAGAGTTACTCAGACATAATTGTCAATAAAATGTGGTACGTGTCCGTGCTATATTCACAAAGTGGATGGAGAATATGTATATATATATATATATATATACATATATGTAGCTCTGACTCAAACCACTTTCATTCTCTCTGCCTATGATTTTATCGGCAGTATCAGAAAATGGCGATGCCTACGTGGTTCCATCTCAAAAGTGGAAGCAATTGGCGCTAGTGTGCTTCTCTCTGGTAACACCAATACGTCTATAATACATAGTATGTAGCAGCTGCAGTATGTAGTGGTATATAGTTGCGAATCGAGGTTTTGCACGTGATGTGTGTTGTCCGGAGAGCAGGTTGAAGCAGGGTGAATTGACCAAAGAAAAAAAGTATCTTTTCTTTATGTGGTGAAGAGTGAAAAACGCAACGTTAAAACACTTATTAAAATTTCTAAATAAAAATGGATTGTCATTATTACAAACAATCCCCCATAAATAACAGGTTTCTATTGTTATTTCTTTTTAAATATTTTCTTATAGTATATTAGTTTCTTCAAAGGCTTTTTTCAAAGGTAGCATAATTACACTAATTGGAATTTTTGAAATTTGTACGTTATTATTTATTTTGATTATTTTTTTTCTTCAAAAGTCAATTATTATGTTTGTTTTTCTAGACAAAAGAGATATAACAGAAGGAAGAATGAAAAATCATTTAGAAACAGACAATGTTCCAAGTCAGAAGCAGGGGCAAAAGTTACATGTTCTATTCCATTGAAAAAGTATAATTCCACGGTGAAATTGTTTCAATCTAGATGCCAAATGAGGAAGACAAATCGTACTACGGCAAAAATTTCAAAATATCATATTTTAGAGAGCAAGTATACAGGACGAGATATATGTCGTAAAATTTTAGATACAGACATTGGGCTTACGTCTGAATGTTACAGAAACATCAATTTAGATAGTATTATTCCTGCATTATCGAGAATAATGGAAATGTTCAAGAATCGGCATAATAAATATAATTATGCTGATAAGTTAAAAAATATAATAGCAAAAAATAGCACGAAATATGCAGTTAACCACAAGTTTAAACATCAGATCCATGTCCATTCACTGCAATATTTCTTTAGTTTACTCGTGTATGAAAATGTACCTCTTAAGTTATTTGGTACATCAAGAAATCAAAAGGCTATAAAGAAGACAGTATGTTGCCTTTTAAAGACAGTTCCGCAGAAAATATCAATAACAAAAGCTTTTAAAAGAAATATCCAAAAAGCGGACGCTATTGGAGCATCACTAGACATGATGCCATTATTCAACAAATTGGACGTATGTTTATTGAAAGATTAAACAAATTAGAAAGTTTTGATCTTGTCAAAGACCATTATCATCATTTTTTTCTATTCAATTTGAAATGTCTAATATTTCCTGTAATATTTTTCTTTTCTAGATTTCTAAAATTAATTGGTTATATTCAATTGATAATAATACCGAGAAATGGATCATTGTACTGAAGCTATTGCATTGGTTTTTTACACAATACATTATAAAGATTTTACATAAATATGTGGTCTTGAAAGTATCTAAACGGCAATGGATATACATCACAAAAGATAATTGGATCAATATGCAAGAAGAATTTGTGAACAAAAAGCTGAATATTTGTGAGCCATGTCTTGTGCCATTTACGGAATTAAACAAGAAATATATTACTGGGATATATAAATTTATTCCAAGTTCTTCTGGTGTGAGAGCTATATTTTTGGCAAAGTACATAAATATCTATTTAATAAACTTCTTTCTTGAAACTTTTCTCTGATATACAGTACCAATAAATACTATTAGTAATATATATGTATACAATTTTATAGATACAACATTAAGGACAAGTATGATGACGTTGTTTTAAGATTTCTACAACAATTATATATCACGCACTTTAACGAAAAAGGGATCCCAACTGTAGCAGACTGCAAAAAGACGATTTCGAACTACATATGGGAAAGATCTGGAAATCCATTGTATTTTGTTCGTTGTGATATTCAAGATGCATTTGACTCGATAATACAAGGTATAACTTACTGTATACTACATAAATATATTTGTCGTCAGTTTTTTTTATTGTACTTTACTATTCTAGATAAATTATATAATATTATCTCTATGTATTGTGAAAAATTAGAGAACATAATTGGAAAACGAATTTGCACTTTTCGAAAACCAAAGCAAAATAGGAAGAAAAACACAGTGCAAATTGTATCTAATTATTTAAAAAAATTAACATCCAGTAATATAATTCCGAGCAATGAAAGACCAAAACGTGTTAGAAAACAAATGATTTTACATAAGATAAAAGAATTAATATTTCAGAAAAAGGTAAAATGTACATGAAATTAAAGTTTTAATTATTATTATTAAATAACATTTTTATTGTAGGTTAAATTGATTGGTAGACGATATTCAATAATACGAGGTGTATCACAAGGTGTATCAACTTCCTCGATTTTATCTGATATATATTACCAGCAGATGATTAAAGAACAATTCTCGGAATATACAAAAAACGGTCTTCTATCTACATACGTCGACGATATGTTATATATTACCGACGATAAAAATTATGCAGTAAGGTAATTTCCGTAATCTTGCTTGTATTGTTAGACACGCGTTCACACACGTGCATAAAATTCAAATATAAAATTCTGTATTATTAATATATAACAATTTTTATATAGATTTCTAGAAATTATCGAGAATGGGATACACAATGATGAATATGATGTAACATTCAATCCAGATAAAATACAATCAAACGTGGAGGTGTCTTCCACATCCACCAATTCACGAAATATATCCACAATAAAATTTTTAGGATGGAACGTACCTAAGTTCCGTTAAATATCGGATCTAATAAAATGCTATAACTGTGTTATTATTGTTTATTCTAAACTTTTTCTCAGTCAAAACAACAGTGCAATTAATTAAAAAATTTATGTCTTACATTAATTTTTTTTTGTCTTTGTCCACTTTGTAGCAGCTTATGGGCAATTGTTAATTAACTATTGCATCGACCGTAACATCGTAAAATATGACACTGATGTACGTACGATCTTGAAAAAGAATAAATGGTATTAAAATTGCAACGTTTGATTACTCATTAACTTTGATATTGTCAATATAAATATAATTGTTCTTCCATAAATCAACTATACATGTATTAAATAATATGTATAATTGATTGCAAATAAAAATATATAACATAAATATACCACATGGAACATTGTAACATATATCGCAATCGTCTAAAAACTGGCTTAAACCTTCGAAGACATCTTGTAGAATTATCAGAGATATGCGTTTTTTAGAGAGTTGGTTTTAGACAGTGTACAGTTTCGTTTAGTAATACATATACATACATATATATATATATATATATATATATATATATACATGTATATATGTGTATATGTATATATATATATAAAAGTGGACGTCTTACCGTAGAGAAAGTATCCATGGATATAACGAACATTTTTCCTGCCGTCAATACACAAGGTTCTCGTGTTTTCATTATCATAAAAATTAAGATTTTCCTTGTTCGAGATGAAGTTTGATACCACGCTATGTTTGTTCTGCAAACAAAATATTGCGTAAATATTTTGTATTTAACATAATTTTTAAAGCCTATATTTAAAATTAATTTTTAACTAATTGTAAGCAGAATTTTTTGTTTTTTATTTAGTTTGAATTAAGTAAGAACAGATTGATCGTTTTATTAGATACAGTGATTTCTTTTCATATATATGACGCGCGTACTATATTATTAATATTTTAGATGTATAGTCTACATCAAAAATTTAAGATTTTCTCTTACTACAAAAATGTTTATTTAAAATGTTTATGTTTACTTACAAACTGATAAGAATATGTGTGCTATGATCGATTAGACGTTGCGCTAGAAAACTTTCAAAAAATAAATGCGTTAACAATGCGCATGAAAATGTTATTTGTCTTAAAAATTCTTCTGGTTTATCCAGATTTGTGACGGCCTAAGAAGATTAATTAATATTGTAATTGTTAAGGAACAAATAATATTTTGATTGTAAATCTGTACATCTCTTTTGTAATTAGCATTATTAAATTATTCATTAAAGTATTTTTATTTGTTAATAACATTTAAATTAGAAATAAAAACAATAGTTTTTCCATATTAATAATTTATTAACTTTGAAAACATTATCATATTATTATAACAAATGAAATTGACGTACCATAACGCCTGTCATACTTATGATAAGCATATTGAAACCCGCTACCACAAGGAACATTTGACTGAACACTGCTTCAATGAGACTGGCGAACCTTCATGTGCGAATTAAAAATATAATAGTTAGAATATAATCTGTTAGATCGGCATACACGTATAATTATATAAACACTATAAATACATTGTTTAAGTATGTTAATATGAATAACAATATAAAATTTGATTAATATAATACATATTAATATAATACATATTAATATAATAATATGTCTTGTATTACAGCACCTTAAAGCTCTCTTGTGTGCATGAATGCTGCTTATAATATTTTTGTATGGTTTATCGTTTTTTATTGACGGATTAAAATTTATTTCTAGATTACCTCCTTTTACTATATTTTCTAGCTGTTGCCTAAAGCAATTTATACAAGTTTCAAAAGTTATTAATACAAATTCTGAACTAATTAAATGTTTAAAAAAAGCCTATCATATATAAAAAAGACAATAAAATGTACAATATTTTGTGAGATTTTTACCCGATAATCATAAATAGTCCGCAAACATGCTGCACTACTATTACATACATTGTATCTACCGCGATGGCTATGCTTACACAAATGACAGCTGTAACGTATCCATGAATTAAGATTGGAAAGTAATATTTCTCCATATCAATATAATACTCAACTTGGTGTAACAATGGTCGTGTTGTTTCATTTGAAGAAGAACCCAGTAACAATGGTTGTAATGGTACTAACATAAAGAACACCAACGCAGAATAAAAAGCGCCTAATAAAAATAGATTTAAGCATTCTTAAACATTTTTTATTAGTCTTTATTCTTAATTTCTGTTGTAAAATAAAATCATTTTGATTTAAATTTTTACTATAAAATTTAGTAAGGTGAATATCCATAATTAATATGTAAAAGAGACATACGCGCACGTATGATACGAATTTTTAAACATTGGGGAAAAGAGGCTTCAATCGCCGGTAACACGCCAATTTTAATATAAGATACAAACATTCTGCTTACTCGCGTATATGATCGTGAATGTCCGTCCACTTTGCGCGTAATTATTAAGAATCTTGATGTGTGGAGATGTTATTAATAATTGCCAATCGTATTGTATTTGATCGAAAAGTGCCCTGATCTGTAATTAAATTTTATTGTGAAGAAATGTCAAAAAATTTTTTATTTTCATTATTTTGTGGCTAAGAAATTATAATTTCCAATTATTTAAATTGGAAATTGTGAAATAAACAATAATAATTGCCTAAGCAACAGTTGTTCTTTCTCTCATAAATTTTACATGTCTGCAAGCGGATATAGGTATGGTGAAAATATTTTGGAACTTGTGTTAGCCACATGTCGTAATATATTTGTACATACCTCTGTTGCTTTTAATATGCAAGTGATTAATTTTACTCCACATCCTAGATCGACTACCAATGGTGAAAGAGAATCGATGAATACGTCGATGTCATCAATAGAGAGCAAACCACATATCTGTGCTTAAACCGTGAAGTTATAAATATAAAAGCATATAGTATTAAATATTGTTTTTATATATATGTACAATAGAGATAGAAAATGGAATGTATATGGAACACACAAATGTAGTAATCCAAAAAGTAACTTTTGCTTCTATATAATATAAAAGAGAGATTGATAATTAAATACTCTTTATCAATGATCGAATAGTTAAGTTTACGATATTCAAATGACATGCATCGTCACACCTTGGCGATAAATTGCGTGCCAGCTAAAGACACTATAATGATAATAATAGCATTGCTACTTCTGTTCGTTTGATATGGCCATTGTCCAACACACGACAGGAGAACTTTATTGATCCTGTAATTCCGTCCATCGAAGAACTGCATTTCACACTTATCAATAGAACTGTAGAAGAAGAATATATTCAGAGAGAGAACTGTAGTAGGGAACTTTCATCCGTTTGCATGCACCTGCATTGCCTTTAATAATTCTCTCTGTATGAGCGTTCTACTGTCGGCGCTATCACAAAATTATTTTAATTGCTCGCTTATAGTCGCTGTTAATCGTCAGACTATCGAGTACAAGCTTGTGCGTCCTTTGAGTCTAAGCTTTTGCTTTGAGATACTTTTCATTGTTCCATCTGTTGTCACCTCGACAGCTCCATACGTATAATAGAACATTGTATCTTCTAATTACAATTTTCTAGCCAGGGACAGAAACTTCCTTATGGAGGGTATGGAACTTTTCACATCTAGTGTCCCCATAGGTGTGGAATTCCACACCTAGAATTCGAGGTATTTAAAAAAATATGTTTTAATTTTTGACAAATTTTAAGAAATTTTGAGTGATTTGACAAAAAACAGTATTAAGATTTATAACAGTATAAAGATTTGGACATAAATACATATATAATATATGAAAAGAAATTAAATATAGAAAAATGTAGATAATGTAGAATGTGAAGAAAATATATTTCGTACATATATATAATAAAAAAGATAAAATATTATATTTGTATGTTATTGAAGCCTGCACCATCTCTTGCTTGGATGAGTACTTTATTACTGAACCCACAAAATTCGAACGTTTCCATTCCTGTTTCTAACTATTAATTATTCTTTTGGAAAAATTTTTCTCTCTATAACAATTTTTTTCTTTACTTAATACAAGTAACGAAAATTCTGAATTTTTTAAATGTTTTTGACATTGTCTTTTTAAACTTTTTTAAATGTCTTAATTTATTTATTTTAAAAGTAAATTTAAAACTACATTTTAATATGTTTTGTGTTGAATTGCATATATATACATATGATACATTATGACATATATATTTATATTTGAAATATTAGAAATCAAGAAAGTATATTGTATTTTTATACAAAAGTTATTAACTGTTACAACATTTTTATAAAAGCATGAAAATTTTATTATATTCTTATTACATTCGAATTGTGCAGTTTAAAAATTTAGTGATTTTATTAGAAACGGAGAATTGGATATTCTCTTGTCATCTCATTCATCTGTTAGCTGTTACGTATCTAAGGCCTTTCTAGACACTTTTGCAAATGTCCCGTACATTTTAAATGTCACAGCATTAGTTTATATAACATATATATATATATATATATATTTTTATTATTTTTTATTTCACGTGACAGGGACAAAAAAGAAGTGTTTTGTCGTTATTATGCGAATTCCGCGAATTATACTTTAAACGTGACACATATCATGCGAAGAAACTTCTCGCGTTATAACGTGAGTATAGTGCAAGCTTAATACATTAATCATGAGTAATAATTTTAAATTTAATTAATATAATTTTTAATTTTGTCCGTGCAAAAAAAATATATATATCTTACATTTATATGTATATAAAGTATTTAATTGATATGCAGAGGCAGTTTGATACTTCTACAGCTGAAGACGATTCGTATTTCACATCGGATCTTGATTTACCAAATCCAAAGTATTATCTTTGCTCTAATTCTGATTTATTTATATATAAAAAACTGTATAATCGCTGATTTTGTATCTTCCAAGAGTGACACAGTCTTATAATCGAAAATTGAGACTTGCTTGTCGAACGTCAAAAAACGAAAAAAGTGATCAATCATATCTTCTCAAATTGCCGTCAAAATCATTACGTTGTTGTCAAGATCCAGTTATTAATAGACAAGTTATTGAAGCAAAATTATGTAAGTGATGTAAGTGTTAATGAAATCAAAATATGCAAATTTAAAATATGTAATTAAAAAATCCATATATATTAGTTGATAAAAATGTTTTGTGTAGAATAATTTTAGAAAAAAGAAATTAAAATTTTTTGTTTGCTATTATATATATATATATATATATATATATATATATATTTTTTACACATTATTTTGTGGAGACACATTTTAGTTACCAGAGAAGTCGACCAGGTTGCTACTCCGCAACGAATCTCAAATATTGAGTCTTCTGCGTCATATGTCTATCTGAAAGAATATGAGGTAAAATATGAGGCAGATATAGTATGGTAGAGTAGTATAAAGTGCAGATTATAAATTTAGATTACTTTGAAATGATTTTTTTGTATCAAAAGTATATTAATATTTGGCACTTATTATTATTCGCAATTGGCATTTAATATAATTTTAATTATCTAAAATATAATATATTTTCAACGCGTTTAATTTTATTAAGTTCACTTTTTATTTTATAAAAAACTTCTGGATTAGCATAAATTTATTCTCTGCTATTATAATTAAAGCGTGAATGAGTTCTAAGATATACTAACGTTTTTGGTGGATGAATGTTTTTCATAGCCACAAGGGGTAACTTTTGAAGGAAAGCATTTGAGCGATGGTGAAAAATTTGAACGTAAATTTAACGAAAAAAATTGGTAATTATTTAAAAAATTAAATATACATTTTTACTTATATAGTCACCTTAATATTTTGAGGTGCAAGTTGTTTTATTATCTCATTTAAAGCGCTTAATATATCGTGTGTTGACAGGAAGCAAAACAGTACACCACGGATCGTAAGAGCTATTCGACAGAACGGCAAGAAACGTAAGTTAATTAAAGCTAGAATGTTTAGATTATCAAATTTTATAATCGATCCGAGAGAGAGAGAGAGAGCGAGAGCGAAGG